ATGAGGTCTGGTGGAGGACGAGAAGGACATGGTAGTAGAGGAAGACAAGGAGGAAGATGAAAGAGAAGAAAAAGAAAAAACACTTTTCCTTTCAAATCCTGTGGTTGGAAAACCCTGGTGTCTAACATTACCTTTGATTCTAATGCCATTTTTCCAAGGATATCCACTGCTGACTTATATGCCAGTGTCTCACCTCTGTTTAACAAAATGCACTCTTGCCATGAGCATGAAGCATAGTAATACAAATGCAGGATTAGCAATGCTAGTTCAGTCCTGCATTTAACAATCTAGAAAAATGTATATTCGCAGCTCCAATTTAATATTGCTTGGAAATATGCTCAAAATGAGGCCGTACAGTGTCTTTATATTTTAAAGGCACTAATATTCAGAGGCATTATTTTAAATGGATACAGAAATATTTTATATAGGAGATATGTAACAAGAAGTAATTTGTATTATTTTCCCCATCGGAAACAATTTAAATGAATTTCCAGAACTGGTAATATTTTATATACCCTTGACTCATTCATTCAACAAATATTTACTGAGCACCTACCAGGTGTTGGGAGCTGAGGTTTAAAAAGATGATTAAAACAATGCCCTGTCCTCACAGAGCTTCCTTTCTTATAAGGAGATAGTCAATAAGCATACAAATAAACATAGACTATAAAATCAGGTAGTGATAAGCAATTGAAGAAAATTAAATCATGTTAATGGAATATAAATAAGTTAACCAAGAAATGTCTTTCTGAGGAAATTATATTTGAGCAAGGAATAAAATGAAATAAGAGGAACAAGATGTTGTCAAAGAGCATTTCAGAATGAGAGAATACAATGGAAAGGGGTATGAGACGGACATGTATTCGAATAACATCACAACAGTAAGTTGCACTTTTTTAAAGTAAGCATATAAGACCTGAAAATGATAAAACATTTTGAAGGTAGTCTCTGATTTCTTATAAAACATAGCTGGCCCAATTTAACCAAAAACTTTGATAACCACCTATATTCTCCTGATAGAAGTAAATGGCAAGAGTTAATTTTATTTCAATTACTTTGAGGTGGTTATAAATTTTCAAGGCCGTGTCCCTGGATATGCAAATTAATTTTTTATTTCTCTATAACTCATCTTCACCTCCATTTTGAATCAACATTTTACCATTGTTTTTTGATGAGAAAAAAACATAATATGCAATTTCAAGTCACTTAAATTATTTCAGACTGTCTCCCTCAGTGACATAAATTCAATTGGTTTACACAACCCCGTGACATGGTGGTAAGAGGTTAGAGGTAGAAGTAGGAAATAGAATTTGTTTATTTTCTCATCTATTAAATTTTAAAATGCTGTCAGTTCTTTTGATATGCTTTGTCAATACACAGGCAATTGCTGAGGGATTTTGCCTTCTCGCTAAGTTGATAGCCGCATATCCCATGTTTGTTTTCAGCTTTATACTGTTGTCATCACCATAAGATCCTTTAGGTCTTTATCATTCTCAGCCAACAAAAGAAAAGAAATGGTGCTTCTCATGACCCATGAGGGCATATGTCGACCAAATATGCAACCCAAATCTCTTTTAAAAGAAGGGTTAGACATCCTTGGAGGGAGGTTGGTCAGCAGATACCCTGTAGCTGTCAGCCCCTTCTTAGTATGCTTCAACTGTGGTGAGCTGCCTTGCCTAAGATCACACACATTGCTGGGTGGCCCACACCCAATGACAGAGCAAAGTGGGGAATTTCAGCCAACCTAGGAAACTCTGACTGGTAATTCTTGTTCCAAAACTTCCCAAGAGATTGGCCAAGGCTGTATTATAATTAGACTTCTGCCCTATCTTGTTTTTTTCTCCCTTACCTTCAAAAATGTGAAACACCTAATAAGCATCTTGTTCCCTAAACTCTGTCTTGGCATCTGCTTTTGGAGATTCTCACTTGTAAAAGGAGTTACAACAATTTAATGAGCCTACTACACACACTTTTCTGCCCAGGCATCTGATACAATTGTCCCAGTTCTATTTTCCCACACCATAGTTATCAGAGCGATGTGCCACTCTGCCACAACCACATAGAAGGTGAATCACAAGTCTACTCTAATTTCACATCTCCAAACCCAGTGAGGGTTCTGACATTTTACCACTCAGCTTGGAACTAACCCTAGAATGGGAGGCAAGGCATTAGGGTCCTTCTCAGTGACACATCATTCTCCTTTATTGCTTTCTTCTCCAATTTTTCTTTCACCTCTGAACTGAGTCTGTAAAAAATGATTTAGCAAATTTCTCCTAGCATGTGGTCTTATGATGGCTTTTCATCTAAGTTTAAAAGTAAAATTTCATACCTTTTTTCTCTGTTCCAGGGACAACTTACCCCTGTCACCAGCACCCAATGATGGCTGAATCATGTTTAGCAGCCTGGGTTAAAGGGAAGGGACAAAGTCACAGAGTAAAAGTAAATTCGAAATAAAAGAAAACATGTTTTAAATCAGATTTTACCCCCAGTATTTAGGGGCAAGCACATGACTCACACTTGTCCAATTCAAGCCCTTCCCTTGGTTGTTTAATAACTGGAGCAGGAGGTAGAGCAAAGAGTTTATACTACCTAATGACTAAGTTGCAAGAAGCCCTGGAAACTGTTGTCATCTATACCCCTCTCCCAACCTTGTACAAAGAAAGCTCATCTGCTTGCAAAATGCAGAGACAGGCCAAGATGATAGATTTAGATCAAACAAAATCATTCTGATGGCATTCAAGCCCCTCAATCAGTAACTGTGAACCCCATAATTTTCTTATTTCTGCCTTCCAGAAGCTGATCTTTGGCTCTGCTTTGGACTCTGAAAATTGTCCCAGAATTCGTCCAATATTTTTTTCCATAAGTTGGTATAACTTGGGTTTCATTTTATGCAGCTAAAATATATAGTTTACAAAAATACATTGGAACACTTGAATGCCTATTGATGACCTTTGGCCTATGAAATGCACCCACATTTTCAAATGGTTGACCCTACTTCACCACACACACACACACACACACACACACACACACACACACAGATACACACACACACACACAGATACACACACACAGAGGCTTCTAGGCCAAGAAATTATCTGGTCTCTCAATCATAACTTAATCAATTTAGTATATTCACATTCTGCCAACTCAAAAAACCATTTCAGCCTCTTTATCCTGGGCCATTTGTGTCAATATCATTTGTATTTATAATATCGGCAAGATGTGTTCTATTGTCCTAGTGTTAAGGGTCATGTGTACTTTCTAAGGAGCCCAAACATTCCTGAAAAAAATGAGTTTTATAGTAATGCATTTACCAATGAGAACATCCAATGATTCCAAGACTGTCCAGTTCTTATTGGTTCTATTTTCCAGCCCTTGACATCACCCAGTTCTTTTCACATGAAGAATCCATCATTTTATTAATTCTTTATAGCGTAGTATATTCTTCAGAGTCTGTAATTCAAATTTCACTTGAAAAACTTTCTCAGCTACTTGTGATGGTAATTGATGAACCTAAATGATCATGGCTGCAATGAAGGCCTAGAATTGGCTCTTCTTTCTGTGTACATAATTCTTAAAGGAGTTCAGTCCAACAAAACACAACTATTCACTCCATGTGGATAATGAAACCTCAAGAATCACATTTGATGTGAGATATCTTTACTGGTAGTGTGAGGATATGTCACGATATGATAAATGTGACCAATTGCCACAGCTGAAACACACTGTACGATTATGTAGTTAAGTGGTGACAAAGATGGTAAATGCTGTTCTTTGTGTATTTCAACTCCAAGATCAAAAATGAGGCTACAAATCTAACCTAAAACCTAAATATATCTAGCCTAAAAGCAAGAATATTTGCCAGTGCTGGGAATATTAATCTCTAAAAATAGCTTCTGCCTTATTTTTGAATAAGGAATTCACCATCATTCAGCCCACTTTGAAACTCATCTTTCTCACCTGAAAGCAACACAAACTGGTCTTGTTACCCAACTGATTTTCTAATATTCACATCATATTAACTCCTATTTGTAC